CTTGCCTGATAGAGTATTCTTGGATTTAGTCCCTTGCTTTGCATTACTTTGTATACTTCATTCCATTCCCTTCTGACCTGATTTATTTCTGTTGAGAAATCAGTTGATAGTCTAATGCAGTGGTCTCGTGAGCCACATGCGGCTCTTTGGCCCCTTGAGTGTGGCTCTTCCACAAAATACCGACTTCTGCGCATGGGCCACGAAGTTTCAATCACACTGTACGTGTGCGCCCGCATGTGGTATTTTGTGGAAGAGCCACACTCAAGGGGCCAAAGAGCCGCATGTGGCCAGCGAGCCGCAGTTTGCCAACCACTGGTCTAATGGGAGATCCCTTGTAGGTAACTTTCTGTCTCTCTCTCTGGCAGCCTTTAAGATTGTTACTTTGTTGTTTACGTTTGCTAGCTTAATTATGATGTATCTTAGTGTTGGTCTTTTTGGGTTCATCTTGTTTGGGACTCTCTGTGCTTCTTGGACTTGAGTGACTTTTTTCTTCCCAAAGTCAGGAAAGTTTTCTATCATTATTTCTCCAAACAGGTTTTGTATTTTTTGCTCAACTTCTCCTTCTGGCACCCTTATTATGCAGATGTTTTTGTGTGTTTGTTTGTTTAGTGTTGTCCCAGAGCTCCCTTAGACTCTCCTCTTGCTTTTAATTTTTTTCCAGTTGCTGCTCTGCTTGGGTATTTTTTTCTACCTTGTCTTCTGACTCACTGATTTGGTCCATAGCTTCTTCTAGTCTACTGTTGAAACCTTCCATTGTAGCTATGTCATTCTTCATTTCCTTTTATTCTTACACATGTTGGTGAATTTCTCATCCAGATGTTTGAGCATCCTTATAACAATTACTCTGAATTCTTTCTCTGACAAATTGCTTGCCTCCATTTCATTTAGTTCCTTTTCTGGTGCTTCCTCCTTTTCTTTCATTTAGGGGTTGTTTATCTGTCTCCCCATTTTTGCTGTTCCTTTGTAATTGTTTCTATGTATTAGATCAAACTGCTATGGCACCCAGATTTTTTGAATTTGTCTCATGTAGTAGATGTTTTGTGGGACCCATTGTTGCATGGTTCTCCTGATGTAGTTGGGTCTTGAATGTTATTGTCTCTTTCATGGATGGAGTCTCCTCTCAGGGTATCTGATTATACACATTTTATATTTTACTAGAGGCCCGATGCATAAGATTCTTGCAAGAGGCTCGGCCCTCACAGCCACAGTGGCTTGCCTTGGCCCTCCCAGCCCCAGCTTCATCTGGAAGGTCTTTTGATCTAATTAGCATATTATGCTTTCATTATTATAGAGATGTAGTTTGTCCTCACTTTGAAGAATTAGAAACTCAAGAAAAAAAAACGGAATTGTGAGTTAATGTTCCCAAGGTTGGTGATTTTGTCTTGGAGGAAGGAAGTTTGAACAACTGAAACATTGCTCCAGTTTGAAGGATGTTTGACCTTCAACTTTGGGTTTTCATCTGCTTGGGTTTGGAAACTGGCTTTCTGAGAACAGGGGACAATTCTGTGTCATCCCCTGCCACACCCATTCACCCTCCCCCACTGTCACAGCTCTTCCCAGCCATCTGGGTGCTAAGTGCTGGGTGCTAAGTGTTGGCCATGGGCTGTGATGTCATTAAACAGTTTGCATATCACCTCTGGGTCATGGCTGCATCAATTTTGTTTTGGTTAATCAGACAAAAGGTCAATAAGGAAATGGAGGACTTGAGCAGCGCCATGTAGATGAATTGAACTACATTCCCTAACAGACAGAGACAGAACATTCTGTGGAGTATCACACACGTTCTCCTTATGCACACCTGGAGCATTCTCCAGCCCAGCTCACATGCAAGGCCTCCCTATCCGTCTGACCAAGTTTAAGAAGTCTGAAGTTATACCAGATATATTTTCTGGCCAAAATGGAATGAAAGTAGAGACCAATAATAAAAGGAAAACCTAACAAATTCACAAATATATGGACATTAAGAAATACACTCTTGAATCTTCCGTGGGTCAAAGAAGATACAGCGAGGGAGATCAGAAAATATCTCTAGACAGATGAAAATGAAAATACAGTACCATATTGTACATCTAATAATGGGTGGAATACTACTTTTTTTTTATCACAATAGATATTAAATGGATGAGCTACATAATAACAAAAAAGCTTAACAAAATTCAAATAAACTAAAACCCATCTTGCTTTTATAGCAAGATGTGGAGTCTTACTTGTATCTTCAAACCCTTAATGTCATGTTCCTCTTGAACAAGGTATAAAATCATAAAGATATCTACACTAATAAAAGAGAAACATGCAAATTGGTGTCACTTCGCTACCCTTCCCATTGGCTAATCAGGGAGATATGCAAATTAACTGCCAGCCAAGATGGTCTCCGGCAGCCAAGCAGCTGATGCGAACAGGGAGGCTTGCTTCCTTCAGTGACGGAGGACTCCAACGTTCCCCGCCTGACTTGCCGGCCTCTCATCTGCAACTCTAAGCAACTATGTTGCAAATATAGAAGCTAAACAAAACCCCAGAAACCTGCTTTACTCAGCGGGGCTTCAGCCCGGACCGCAACATTGTATCAAATACAGAAGGTAAACCAAGGCCAGAAACCTGCTTTCAGCAGCCGAGGCCTCAGAGCTAAAGCTGGCCCAGAATAAAAAAAGAAACAAAGAATAAAAGGAGCGGTTGGGAGCTTCAGTCACCCGCCAGCCTGAAAACGGCCCTCAGCCCCTCAGCCAGACTGGCCAGGCACCCCAGTGGGGACCCCCACCCTGATCCAGGACACCCTTCAGGGCAAACCAGCCAGCGCCCACCCGTGCACCAGGCCTCTATTCTATATAGTAAAAGGGTAATATGCCTCCCGGCACCGGGATCAGCATGACAGGGGGCAGCGCCCAAACCCCCTGATCACCCTGCAGCTCTGTGTGTGACAGGGTGCGGCGCCCCAACCCCCTGATCAGCCCTGCTCTGTGTGTGACAGGGTGCAGCGCCCCAACCCCCTGATCAGCCCTGCTCTGTGGGTGATAGAGGGCGGTGCCCCAATCCCCCCCACGGGCCCTGCTCTGTGTGTGACGGGTAGAGCCTTAACCTCCCCATCGGCCCTGCCCTGAGTGTGACAGTGGCGGCGCCCCAACCCCCTGATCGGCCCTGCTCTGTGTGTGACAGGGGGCGGCGCCCCAACACCCGCCTGATGGGCCCTGCTCTGTGTGTGACA